GTGTGTGTGTGTGTGTGTGTGTGTGTGTGTGTGTGTGTGTGTGTGTGAAAGAGATTCTAATCTGCATTCAGGTGGCTGTTGGCATTGAGGGCAATGTGAGTGGGGGTCTTGGTTTCTGGCAGGTATTGAGGTCCTTGTGGGGTAGCCGGGTCCATCGTGGTGGTGGGGTTCTGGGTAGGGGGTCTGTGGGGGAGTCTCAGTGAAACTCCAGTGATCCCAACATGGGTCTGGGGGGGGGGGGCTCAGAGGGGTCCAGGCAGGACTGTGACCAGAGGCAGCATAGGGAGTCCCCAGCCACGATGTGTGATTCCAGTGGGGTCTGCTGGGGGTCCCTGCGGGAGTCTGGGTGGGGACCTGCGGGGGTCCTCACAGGACTTTTGTGGTCTGGTGGGGGTCTGGGTGAGGGTCCCTGATTTGAGTGGGGGCCTGGATGGGGGAGTGCGAGGTCTGGGCAGGGATTCATTCGTGTGGATGTCCATGTAGGGTTTTGCCCTGTGGACGAGTGCTGGGTGGGGGCAGGGTCCCAGGATCTGGAAGGGGTCCCCGGGCAGGACTTACAGGTTCTGGGAGAGATCTCTGGCCTGGGCATGGGCCCCGGGCTGGGGTAGGGTGGGTGGTGCTGTCTGGGTGGGCTCTCTAATCCTACCTCTGGGCAGGGTCCCTAGGTGGGTGACCCGGGTCCAGGCGGGATCTGGAAGGAAGTCCCGGGCAGGGGTCCTAGTCCCGGATCTGGGGTTCAGGCGGGGGCCCTGTGCAAGGCTCCACCGGGGGCTCCTGGGCCAGGGTCTGGTGTGTGGGGACCCTGGTCCGGGAGAGGCCCATGGGTACGGTCCCCTCGTGGGGTCTGGCATCTGGGTGGGGTTCGGGTCGGGGGTCTGGGGCCTGCTAGGCAGTCACTGGGTAGGGGTTGGGGGTCCGGATGGGGATCTCTGGTCTAGCATCCGGGCTGGGTCCCTAGCAAGTGACAGACGCAGGGCCCCTGGGCAGAGTCGGGCAAGGCCAGGAAGGGGTCCCCGGCTGGGGTCCGGGATCTGGTCGGGGTCGCAGGATCAAGGGAGGGGTCGGGGTAGCGGTGGAGTTTCCAGGGAAGGGGTCCAGGGTCCGGGCAGCGTCAGGCAGGGTGTTTGGGGAGGGGGTCCGGAGGCGGAGTCGGGGAGGCATCAGGGTCGGGTGAGGGAGGAGTCTCGGAAGGGGGGCAAGAGTCTGGGGAGGGGTCCAGGATTGGGGCGGAGTCCGGGCAG